CACTCACTACTAACCACAGGGAGTAATAACAGTAACAGCAGCAACAACAAACAACAGCTAACACACAGCATTGAGGCGGGCCGGGCAGTGTCCCAACAACTTTGTATATGTTCACTCACGTAATTCTCTGTTGAAAAACACAGTAAGTGTTGGACTTCCTGGAAGCGGTCACATCCTCTTGCTCTTAGATCTTTGTCTCTTCGGTGATCTTGTTCTGATATCCAGCCATCTTTCCAGCCACATGATATGTGTTTATACACCATCAGCTTGTGCCAGGCCCTGCATTAAGTGTCCGGGGTCCCCATATGAGTGACATGTGTACCTGCCCACAATGCATACAATCTAGTGTGGGAGACAGATCCATGGAGAGTCGATAAGGTATGTGCAGTGACAGAGAGGATGGGAGGCACAGAATGAGCCCTATTTCAGCCTGAGGACTGCCAATCTGGCCCACTGGGGATTTACCCACTTCAGGAAGCTTCCCTGACTTTGCCAGTCTGACTGAGGTCCCACGTCTGGGCCCCTACGGTCCCTTCTCTGCCCACATCACACACTGACCACCATGTATGGAGAGTGGCTGTCCCCTCCTGGGCACAGTGAAGACAAGAACAGTCTGGGTCCCCACCAGCCCAGCACCTGAGGCAGCCTGGACACAAATCCTTGGGATCTGCCCAGGAGAAGTGCTTGTAGAATGAAGAGTCACACACAGCAGCATCCTCCTCGTGGGTTTTTCTCTGATGCTCTCCCCAGAGTCAGGCCTGATCTTATTCCCTTTCCTGCACCTTGTTCAGGCCCCTTAGCCCAGAGGACACTCCACAGGGGTCAGGCCCTGTGGGTAAGTTTGGGGCTGCTTGCCTTCATTACTTGTTTCAAGAGCAGTCTGGCTAGAAAAGACCACACCAGAATGGGGGCCCAAACACCTCCAGCCAGGTTGGAAGCATCTGCCCCAGGCTCCTGAAGAAGGAGCAGTATCTTGGGCAGTTCTAGTCTTAGTGGGAAGAGGGAGGAGGCCGTGCAGCAGCCCTCAGACTCCCTGGATGGTTGGGGTGGTATAGGGTATCTCTGAAAGTTTCTTTGGTTCCTGAACCCCTTCTTCAGCCTCTGGGCTATTTGATCCATGATGCTGTGATGAGGGGCTTAAGGAGTAAATGACTCTAGAGTGGTCTCTAGAGTGGTCTCTAGTGGTATTTGAGGAACGTTCCAGAAAGCCTTAAGAAGCTTGGTGACAGTTCAGGCTGGCCCCTTGGACTCACTGGTTAACACAGCTCTTTCTCTCCAGAGCTCAGGAGCGGCAGTCACAGGCCCTCCTAGAAGGGCCATGCATCTCAGGGCAAGGACCTAAAAGGACTTTCCCAGGGAGAATGATTGGGAAGGTCTGGCCCCCACCCTTTGTTCCTTGCCTCGAAGCCCATCTTGGCTCATGGTGCCTCTGTAGGGGTGGGGCTGGAGGCAGGGAGCCTTGGGGTCTGATGCTAACAGCTTTGGACAGGGTGGGAATTTCCATTCCTATCTAGGGAGCCATCAACGCTGTGTGCCCTGACCTGGGCCTTTGGCCTCCAAAGGGCAGTGGGAAGGCCGGCCCCAGGGCCAATCCCTGGCCATTAATCCCTCCTGCCAGCCTGAATATCCACCCAGCATGGTCAGACAAAGGACTGCCCAGCCCAGCCACTGTGTTCCTCCCGCCCCAGGGGCTCCACTCAGACGCTGGGCTGCCTGGAATCCAGGCCCATGAGAAAGGGGCCGCCTTCACTAGCCATCTTATGCCCGGATGCTCAGCCGCATCCCGTCCGGCCCAGGGCCTGTGAAAAGAGGGCCCAGCCACGCTGAAAACACGGATTAGCCCTTGGGCCACCCCCTGACACCGGCCTGCTCGGCTCCGGGAAGCAGGCCCAACGGGGGTGGGGGGTGGGGGGACAGGCAGGCAGAGAGAACTGGAAAAGTCTGGGTTCTTACCCCTTTGGCTCCATTCCCTGCCCCCACCCTCCCCAGGATGAGTATAGCTAAGCGCACATTCAGTATCATTTATTGAACATATACTATGTCCCAGGCTCTACACATGGATTGGCAAATTGAAAGTATAAGAAAATTGCAGCTAGCCATGGGAGTTAATAAGAGCCACTCTCCATAACCCCCCTGACCCCACCCCTAGCAAATCTGTAGGTGTGAGACAGGCTGTGGTAAGGGGCCTCCAGAGGGGCGTTTGGCCCCAAGGGAAGGTGGGAAAGAGTGTGGCTCTGGTTCTGTGCCTCAGTCCAGCTACAGGGTTACGATGTACCTGGTTGAAAATATGCAGGCTCTGAAGTCACTTCTTGGACTGCCTCTCTCCTTCCTTTCCTGGTTTAACGCTGGAAATGACAATTGGGTAGCAGGAAAAAAGAAATCTCCCGTTAGCAAGTGCCATTGTGGCCAAGCATCTTTCATACATGATCTCATTTGAATCTCTTAACAATGTGGGCAGGTCTCATTATTGCCCCCCTTTGGCAGATGAGGAAACTGAGGCTCCGATGAGCAAATGGGCCCAGGTCATGTGGCTGTTGCAACTGGATTCCCTGCTGCTGCCGTTGCTCGTCTTTGGTGAGCTGCTCACGGTGCCCGCACTGTCTTGTGTTCTGTAAGGCCTGTGCTCAGCAGTAGAACGTAATGTGGAGAGGGCACAAGGGCAGGAACTGTGTGCCTACAATCCAGGCCGATCCTCACGGTTGTAGGGTTGGGGGGTCGTCTCTCAGTCGCTGAGTGTCATCTCCTCCTTCCCCTCTGCTTCTACAGACCTCTCTGCCCCCCTCTCCCACAGTGGTAATTGTCTCTGTCCATCGTCCCACCAGATCAAGAGTCTCTCCATTTCAGTCTTCCCTGAGCGCTGGCAAAGGGCCTGGCACGGCAGTGCTCAGTGGGTGATGTGGGCTAAACTGAAGCCAGGACACCTGAAGGTGGGGTGGATTTGAGGTCCATGTGACAGTGACAGGACTTGCAGATGGCTGGGATGGAGGGAGTGATGGGGGAAGAAGAGCCCAAAATGATGTTCATCATTCCTGCTCTGTGTGGTGAGGGCCAAGGGCCCATTTACTGTGATGGGGTCAGGGGGACATGGGTTGAGGCTGATGTCCTGCGGACACTGGATATGCTGACCTGGAGGTCAGGAGAGAGGCCAGGCTTCAGCTCTGCAACCAAAGTTGCTGAAAACTGGAACAACTCTAGACGAAGTCATTTCTGCAGTCTCAACTGTAAAGTATGGTGTTCTCAGGAGAGTCATGGAGCTAGTGCTCTGAACTCGGGGCTTAATTCTGGCCCTGCTGCCTACTAGCTGTGTGAAGTTAGGAAGATCCCTTAACCTCTCCGAGCCTTAGTTTCCTTCTCTGCAAAACAGAGATTGTAATGGTGCTGACCTCACAAGGTGTTTGCCCTGAAGCAGGGCATTGCAGTGAATGAAATACTCAGTAATGGTGCTGCTACTTTATGGAGCTGGAGATTGGGGGCCTTGAGCTTCCCGTTTGGCTTTGAAAGCCCTCGGCCACAGGCCTGCAGTAGCTAGCTTTGGTCATTTGCACCCCAGGGCTGTCACACCAGGGCCAGAATCTGATGAATGAGGCATTTGGGCCCCCCATTTAAGGAGGCTCTCAAGTGCCAGTCCCACACTCACACCACCTTGCGAGTTTGTGCCCCCTTAAATTTCCGCCTTGGCCCTTCCTTCACTTGTCTCACCTACCTTCAGCCCTGCTCCCTTGATCTTGCCTGTCCCCCAAGACAAGCCTCTTTAAGGCAAGCCATCTTCATCCTTTGATTCCCTTCAAGCTAGGGCTGGTTGTCCTGTCACTTTGGTGAGATTTCCTGAAATAAACTCAGAGAGACATCACCTCTGGATGGTGATAGTAGGTGGTGTTTCCCAGGGTGAGTCTTTAATAAAAATCGCTAAGGCAACGCTCACCCTCCCCAGTGAAATGTGAGCATGGCTTTTTGGGGTCAGTAAGCAGTTTTCTCAGACCTCCAGGCTGTGGAAGCACTTGGGGGTCTCTCTCTGACCCAGCAACTGGTCCTTGGAACTTTGAATTGTGTAGGCCCGTGTTTTGTGCATCTCCACAGTGTGTACGCTGTGTGTGTGTGTGTGTGTGTGTGTGTGTGTGTGAGAGAGAGAGAGAGAGAGAGAGAGACAGAGAGACAGAGAGAGAGAAAGGGAGCACTTTCTCTAGAACAGAAGGCAGCCAGAAAGGCAACTTCAAATTATGGACTTACTGGGGGCCCTTGATTTTAAAGCAGCCAGTCCCATGGTCCCCAAATATGCTAGTTGGATCACTTTTCAGGATTTTGTTTTCAAAGGATGCTTACAAATGGCTTGGACAGGACAAGGTCGTGTGGGAGGTAGCAGAGAGAGGAGGTGGTGAACCTGGAGCCACCAAATGTCCTCTCCCAGGACAAAGTAGGCCTTCTTGCTCTGCCATTGCCCCTACCCTACCCTTTTAATGTCCAAGACCAGCACGGTGTCAGGACGCTGAAGGCTGGCAAGGTGGTCCTGGGGAACTTTCATCTCTACCCCATCTGGGGTAGGAAGAACCTGGAGAAGGCTAGGAGAGAATGACAGAGGGGACGGTCGGGGGAGGAGCATAGTGGGGAGGGGGCCCCAAAGAGTACACTGAATGGGTGGATTTGTGATTAGCATTGACCCAAAGAGAAGGGAGGTGAGGGAGAGGCCCGCAGAGGGGGGGAGGGGGATGGGGCCAGGACCGGACCGACCCAGTGGAGATGGGGAAGGGATTGAGGCTGGGTCTGGAAGGACTGACCCAAAGGGAAGAGACCAAGGGAGAGGCGACATGTAGGTGGCAGGGGACTGTGAACATGGTAAGGGGATTGGGGAAGTGATTCTGGGAGGAGGCGCTGGCCGGCGGGGGAAGATCCGAGCCCTCTCCCCAGGCTTGGTGGGGGACGGGGGAGGGGGGGCCGCGTCCATATAAGACGGGTCGGCGGCTCCTGCTCTCTCCGAGCTGCGCGGGCAGGGGCGGCCGCATCCGATGACCCGGCGAAGCGACATGGAGCCGCCCGCCGCTTTCTCGGGCTTCCCCGCCCTGCCCTCGGTCGCGCCGTCGGGGCCGCCGCCGTCGCCACTCGCCGGGGCCGAACCGGGGCCGGAGCCCGAGGAGGCGGCCGCGGGCCGCGGGGAGCCGGAGTCCGCCCCCGCACCGGGCCCGGGACGGCGGCGGCGGCGGCCCCTGCAGCGCGGGAAGCCGCCCTACTCGTACATCGCGCTCATCGCCATGGCGCTGGCGCACGCCCCGGGCCGCCGCCTCACGCTGGCCGCCATCTACCGCTTCATCACCGAGCGCTTCGCCTTCTACCGCGACAGCCCGCGCAAGTGGCAGAACAGCATCCGCCACAACCTGACGCTCAACGACTGCTTCGTCAAGGTGCCGCGCGAGCCGGGCAACCCGGGCAAGGGCAACTACTGGACGCTCGACCCCGCGGCCGCCGACATGTTCGACAACGGCAGCTTCCTGCGGCGCCGCAAGCGCTTCAAGCGCGCCGAGCTGCCCGCGCTGCCCGCCGCCGGCCCGCCGCCCTTCCCCTACGCGCCCTACGCGCCCGCGCCCGGCCCCGCGCTGCTCGCCCCGCCGCCCCCCGCCGCCGCGCCCGGGCCCTCGCCGCCCGCGCGCCTTTTCAGCGTCGACAGCCTGGTGAGCCTGCCGCCCGAGCTGGCGGGGCTGGGCGCCCCCGAGCCGCCCTGCTGCCCCGCGCCCGACGCCGCCGCCGCCGCCTTCCAGCCCTGCCCGGCCGCCGCCTCCCCGCCGCTCTACTCGCCCGGCCCCGAGCGCCTGGGGCTGCCTGCGCCGCGCCCCGGCCCCGGCCCGCTCCCCGCCGAGCCCCTCCTGGCGCTGGCCGGGCCCGCCGCCGCGCTCGGCCCGCTCGGCCCAGGGGAGGCCTACCTGCGGCCGCCAGGCTACGCGCCCGGGCTCGAGCGCTACCTGTGAGTCGCCGCGGCCGCCCCGTCTCTGCCGGTCTTTGCCTGTCTCGGAGCGCGCCTCGGGGAGCCAGCCCACCTTTGACACCTAGCTGTCCCCATGCCGGGCACCCTCCAGCCGTCTCTCCCCTGGACCCACCCCTGCCCCCCCAACTGTGAGCCCTCCTCCGGGCGCTCTCCCCAGGGACGCCGTATCAGGTCCCAAGTCCCGGAGCTGGATCGCCGCGGGCGAGCTTCTTCCCCAGCTTCTGGTGAGCCCCCGAGCCTTCAGAAGCCAGACCTTCGCTCTCACGCCGCCTCCTCGACTGACTCCAAACTTCTTCCGCCTTCCCTCGTGTTTTCACAACACAGCAGAGGTCAGACTCCTGGGTTCCTGACTCCCTTGCTGTCTTGCTCCGTTTCCTCACAGACTTGCCCCCACCCCTCCCTTCCCCGTCTGCACCTGTCTTATTGGGAGAGAGCGCCCCTCCCAAACAGACACACCTGGTTGCGTTATTCCAGTCCCGGAGGACAGTTCTTCCAGATCTCCGAGACTAGAAGGACCAGGGGCTCCGGACTGAAAGGGGGGCTGGTGGGCTGCCCCAACGTCTGAAAAACGTAGGACTTACTGGGTTATTAATTTTTAAATTAAAGCTGGTTTGATTAAAAAAAAGAAGAAGAAGAAGAAGAATAACTCTTCTCTGGGCTCGGTGTGCTGGCTGGTGACCTGGGGGAGTTATCTGGGGAGATAGAGAGTGAACTTTGTATGGGATCTTGGGTTGCCACGGGGTGAGCCCCTTGTCGGTTATCAGGCAAAGGTTCATGAAGTGGGATTAGGATGTGATTAAGCCATAGCTGGGCACATAGTGGGCCTAGCAAAATGCTACCACCTGCTGCATCCCAGAAGCTGGTAGGGGTGTGCACATGATTGTATTCAGTTAGGGGGTTTGTCTGCTGTGTGACATTATTCCCAGCTCCCATGGATAAGGGAGTACTGGCCACTCCTCTAACAAGTACTTATTCAACGTGCAAAGCACTGTGTAGGCACTGGAAATACATCACTAAGCAAATGGGCAAGATCCCTGCCTTATGGGGCTTATGAATCAGTCCTCAGTCCTCAGAGAAATGAGTGCTCTAGGGCCTTGCACTCAAACTGTGGTCCATAGACCTTCAGCATCACCAGGGAGCTCGTTAGAAGTGCAGAATCTCAGGCTCTGCCTCAGACCCACTGAATCATCAGATTCTGCAATTTTAACAAAATTCCCAGCTGATTAGTATGCACAGTATTCTGAAGGAAAGGCACCAGATCAAGGCTGGGGGCTCAATTTAAAAGTCTAAAGCTCCCCACTTCAAGAAAGGGGACCATGAACCACACGTTCCCCCGCCTAACTTCCGGAGCTGAACTGTGCCTCATCATGTATGCCTCCTGTTCTACCTCCCTTGCTAGGTTTGAGCTGAGGCAGCCAGAACCGGAACTGGTTACTATTGACCGTCCCCAGCACCACAGACAGGGCAGCACCAAGGAGAGACTCCTAGGTTGCAGTTTGAGGGAGTTGGACTTTTACCTTGTCCTGCTCCCTGGTGCTGACCCAAATGCTAATCCTCAGGCTTTCCCAGGTGCCCCGGCACTAACAGTCTAGCAGGGCCTGGGTTGGGCATTGGGGGCGGGGGATGGGCTGATGTGTCTTGAGTCCATGGTGAACATGATTTGCGTGTTGGATGTTGGACATGCCTGGTGCACTTCTCTTAGTTACAAGAATTTAAAGTTCTCTTGTGGTGTTGGAGGGTGAGGGTAGAGACTCAGCAGCTTCTAGGGGAGAAAGGGCAAGAAATTTGAGAAGGCAGGAAAGGCCCTCTTTGGTGGTAGGACACTGGGTACAGACTGGGTGGAATGAAATTACCTGAATGGACACCCTCCTTCAGCTGTTAACCCCTGTGAGCAAGAGTCAGAACTAATTTGCCTGAAACATAGCAGCCCTTCCCTTAATACTTGACTGACTGACTCCCGGGGGTCTAATGTCTCTGACTTCCTGAATAATGACTAGGTTGACAGTACTTCAGCACCTTCCTATCCATTCCCACTCGCAGTCCTTGCAATGACCTGCAAAAGAGGTAGAGGTGGAGACCATCTCCCCATTTATTGGATAAGAATTGCTCCTCTGGAGCCCAACGGACAGCAAATATACAGCCTGCCTGGTGTCTAAGGAGGAGAGCTCCACAAGCATCAAAATCTAAACTTTCTTCAGTACCAAATGGTGTTACAGCCCCTCCTCCTGCCTCAGAGAACCTCTTGATAAAATCCTTCCAAATCCAAGAACTGTGTAGGGAAGGGGAGAACCCTTTGCAGTCTGTTGAAGCCAGGAAGTGCCTTGTGAGCTCAGATTTCCATTCCTGCCACTGCCCTGCAGATCTCTGTCTCTGGGGTCTTGGAACTGTGAGGACTAGGTGGGAAATGTCTGTACAGAAATACTAGAAAAGTCACCACTGAAGTGGAAAATCAGAGATTTTATTTTATTTTTTTTGCCTCTTTAATCTTCCTTTATTCAACGCATCAAGACTTGCTATGTGTACCCAGACCCTGTCCTAGGCTCCTAGGCCAATACAGAATCAGATTTGAGACCATTTATGCCCTCACAGAATATGTCATAGCATACCCTAAGAATTTTGACATTTTGGTAGATGTTGAACAAACAGAAACAGAAGCTCTAATCCCACTCTCTCTTTAAAAAGCACCAATCAGGGACACCTGTGTGGCTCACTCCGTTAAGCATTTGCCTTGGGCTCAGGTCATGATCTCAGGGTCCTGGAATCTGAGCCCCATGTTGGGTTTCCTGCCCAGTGGGAGTCTGCTTCTCCCTCTGCCCTTCCCCCTACTCATGCTCTCTCTTTTTCTCTTTCAAATAAATAAAATCTTTTTTAAAAAATCAAAAGCACCAATCACTTATCTAGAAGTAAGATTTCAAAATTCTTCTCCCTGTCCCCTTTTTGGAGAAAATAATCTGAATGGAGTCTTCAGACACTTTTTTTTTTAAGATTTTATTTATTTGAGAGAGCATGAGCAATCATGAGCAGGGGGGAAATGTAGAGGGAGAAGCAGACTCCCCATTGAACAGGGAATCCAATGCCAGACTCCATCCTAGAACCCTGGGATCATGACCTGAGCTGAAGTTAGTTGCTTAACCGACTAAGCCACCCAGGCGTCCAAGCCTTCAGACACCTTAGGTAAATATTTCCCCCTTCATTCTTGTAGAAAACTAGAAGTCATCTTTAATCTGAAGACAATCTTTGACACTTAATTTTTGTTTTTATTAAATTGAAACAAGCATATAATCAAATAGCAAAGTCCTATGATAGTGCCTTGCCCACTCTCAGGATCCCTGTTTTGTTCCCTAGAAGCATCTACTTTCAATTCCTATTTGTCTCCTTTGGAATATAGTTCCACATTTCCATGCCTTTTTTTTTTTTAAAGATTTTATTTATTTATTTGACAGACAGAGATCACAAGTAGGCAGAGAGGTGGTGGGGGGCGGTGAGGAGGTTCCCTGAGAGTGTGTTTTGGGGCTCGATCCTTTAACCCACTGAGCCATCCAGGTGCCCCAATTCCCTCCATCTTTATCCGGTGTTGGATTCTCTGCTTCCTGGATCCCACATCATCCTTTTTCTTGATTTATTTATTTCAGTTGAGGTAAATTTGGGGGGAAATTTCACACATCTGAAATTAAGATGATTACTGTAGTATGAGAAGCTAAGTGTGCACTTTGACTATGAAATGTTTGAGTCAAAGCTGTATCTTTGTAGACTTATTTTGGGGGGTTTAGGAAGAGGGGAATGAAAGGTTGTTATATGGGTTCAGTATACCTTGTGTATGGGAAAGCTGGGAAGGTGGGTCAATGTTATGGAAATGAGGGGTACATGTTTTGGCAGGAGGATTAAGGCAGGGGACAGTTCTGAGTTCCTTACAGGAATATATAGGTGAGCTAAGAGGGCAGCCTCCGAACTTAGGAGGACTTGGGACAGGATGGGAAGGATGGCTTTGGTCCCAGGATGGTGCTGAGCTGGTTAGAAGGTCTGTTGGACCCAGTTCAAGAAAGTGGCCAACATCACGCTGGCACAGGGAAAATTGAGTACATAGGAAAGTGACATCCTTGGAAGGAACATAGGTAAGCAGATCAATGGAGAGCCTCCTTTGGACAATTTTTCATGCCTATGGGCTTTCGCTTGGGAAGGCAGAGGAAAAAATGCACAACCTGGAAAACCTTCTACTCTTAGTGACTGGTTTGGTTTTAAGCCCATGTGAAGGACCTCTCTGGGAGATGAGGCTGGACAGGATTTTGCAAGATACAGGAGGCTACAGTGGTCTTCTTTTAAACAAAAAAAATTCTGTGGACCCCCAGTATTGACCTTACTTTTTATTATAATGTCATTTAACATGGGCAGGTATCAAATCCTTAGACTTGTGTCTCTTATGCAACTGGAAAACAAAAATTTATTCACAAATTAAACTCAAACAGAGCTACAAAATAAAAATTCATATAACATTAATCATATGTAAAAGAAGATACCATTTTGCCAAAACTAAATAAATCATTTGCACCATAAATGTGGCCTTGACTGCTCCATTACAGGTCTTTTGGGTTTGGTGTGCCTTAAGCCAGGATGACTAAATTCATCCTCCATTATTTTCTTTTCTTTCCCCTCCCTCCCTCCCTCCCTCCCTCCCTTCCTTCCTTTCTTTCTTTTCCAACATGGGGCTCCAACTCATGACCCTGAGATCAAGACCTGAGCTGAGATCAAGAGTCAGATGCTTAACCAATTGAGTCACCGAGGTGCCCCTCCCATTGCTTTCTTTTGAATGAAGTGCAAGCCTTCCCTGTATGGCAGGCCATGCCACCAACTGGCCCAAATGCAGCACTTACTTATAAAGTCAACATTGTTTTTTGCCTTGTCTCAAGATTAAAGAAGTAGTACTTGACAATAAATGTAAATGAGGACTCTAAATATCAGGTCTCTGATATTTATATCAGGAGGTCA